CCTTCTTCTGGGCTTCTGCCCCATACTTTTGGTTCATTTGTCCCCTCTGAAACTCTTCTTTTTAAAGGTATTTCTCGGTTTTCTGTGTTTTGCCAAAAAAAACCCTCACCAAAACTGCTGTGTCCAAAGCAGGTAAATGCAACAGGTTCTTCCCATGTGAAGAGCTCCTCCTTGCAAAGCTAGGCTGGTTCCAGCTCTCCCCCAGCTTTGGGAGAACACAAACCTCTGGACAGCTATTTCCAGTTCCTCTGTTTCCAGTCTTCAGTCTACATCTCTTTGGTGAAAGACAGCTACATGTTTCAAAATTCAGAATAGATATTCTCTGTCCTAATCCCTCTGCTAGTGTTAGTCAGATCCTTTGTCATGCTCAGCTGGAATATCAAATATTCATGTCCGGACTCCAATAAGACACTGAAGTCTTGTATTTCACTGGAGCAGATCCTGCAAGGGTCTGCAGAGATGCCTCTTGCAGAGACTTTTTTCTCCCAATTCAGACCTTTTCCTCTGCTTCCAAGACATCCCCAAACCACAGAGAACCAAAACCAAATGACAGTGCTTCTCTTTAAGCCGACAACTCTGTACAGGCCACAATAAGAAATCACCATTTCAGCCCACATGGTTATAGGAGGGTTGGGCAATGACCAGGAATAACCTTCTTGTACAGGAGGCTGCTTCTTAAAATTAGGATCTATCACATTCAGCTCCCTAAGCCTGAATATGGTGAGAACCCCCACAGCTCGAGAGCCTCGAGCCTGCAAACGTATCAGTGAGCACAATCAATCCACACTGCTGCCAGCAAGCTTTTCCTTCCTCTCTCTGAATTTACAGCTTGCTTTGTGAAAAGGCCTCTTCTTAAAAGACTCTTCCTCACATCCCCTTCCCTCGCCATCTGTCTCCCACCTCACAACATTCTGCAAAGAAGTCGCTCACAAAACCCAACGCTGCACTGGCACAGCAGCATCCAGAGATTTGTGAGACTCTGCTTTATGTGCCCAAAGAGCCACTGCTCCCCCACCTGCCCCGTGAGCTGGAACCCAGCTCTGGAGCAGCACTGTTCAAGGTGCACCAAACCCCTGGGACAGCCAGAGGTGGCATTGCTGTCCTGCTGCCACCACAAATCACTGATCCTCTTGGGACTTGCTCGGGCAAATGCAAAGCATTCCCAGCTCACCACGGCTAGCTGAGCATCAGGAAAGGCAGGGGAGCAGGGACACAGCACCAGCCCCAACACTGAGGCACTATCTGCCTCCTTAAGAGCTCCACATCCACAGCAGACCTGCTCCTCACTGGGGAGATGTGCAGTCACAGGGAACAGAGCCTCCTGGGCATCAGAGGGGTCCTCAGGGAACGTGCTCCCCAAGGGTTTCCAGGCTTTGCCCTGCTATTTCTGCCAAGCAGGGCAACCACACTGGGTGTGGGAGCTGTGGCAACAAGGAGGAGCTGGGACAGCTCAGCTGTCAGCCAGGAGCTGAGGCACCCAGCAGACAGAGGTCCTGAGGTGCAGCTACAAAGAGACCACCCAGACACAGAAGGGTTGGAGGGATCCAGCGCCAGGCAGCAATGCCACCTTTTTTGGCAGGTGCTCCTTGTGGGAAACTGCTCCATACAACCAAGAAGGGTGTGATCCAAAGACCACTGAGTCTTGTCAAGACTTTGGGAATGCAGATGGGATGAAAGACATCAAATCAAAGCCTGGTATTACTGCAACCAACCAAGAGCAAAACATGGGTCACGGCCTGCAGACACCATTGTGTGCAGCCTGGAAAGCCCCTCGCAGCCCCGGGGCTGTGAGGCACTGCCAAGGTGTTTCCAGCAGGCTCACCAGGCCTGTGGATATGGAAGAGCTCTCCCAGTCCTGCTTGGGCCGAAAGCCCTTCTCTCCCACCAGCCAGACCTGAGCAAACACTGCCCTGCCTTTGACACTCCTCCTTCCAGAGACAAAGAGGACTGCATGAGCTGTCCTTTCCCCGAGGCAGGACAACAGGCTCCTGTGAAAGCAGCCCCTGGATCACACAGATGCAAGCCCCCTGTCCCCCAGCCAGCAGCCTGTGCTGCAGTGCTGCCTGGGAGGCACCGTTTCCCCCAGCCAGCAGCACCAGGTGCTGGATGCTGCTCTCGGCCAGGCCACTGGGGCAGCCAAAGCCCACTCTGGACAGAGCGAGGCTGAGAGGTGCCTCTGCCCTCCAGTGCTTTCATCTACACCAGGGGAGGCAGAAGATTTTCATGAAACCCCTTCTCCTCTGGCTCTTGCACTGTCTCTGCCAAATGATGAGCATTATTAGAGGGGTGTACAAGGGATCAGGAAAAAAAAACCAAAAAACCCAACCCACATTTTGACTAGAGAGCTCCAGCCATCAGTTTGACTTGGTTCCTGTGGATTTCAACATCCATCACAATCACAAGGAGCATATTTTCCCAGAGCAGTTAAAGACACAGCCTATGTATTTATTTCCATTTTGAACTGCAAATAGGGAGTTCAATTAAAACTTACTGAATACTATTTTGCATCTGAAAAAATATTTTCCAACAAACATAATGCATTATTTTGCTGGCTGCATAACCTCAAGCTGCCTTCTGCTCAAGGCTGCTACATCCTCAAAGTTCCTACTTAATGACAAGATTGTTTCTTAAAGTCTTGCAACAGTCTCAAAATTATGTGGATTTTTCTGACAGGAGTTTAAGCTGCATATTCTTCCCTATTCAAGCCTAGCTGTACAGGGGAGAAAGAAGGTTCAGCACATGCAAGCTTGCTGTCATGACTCTTCACCTACTACTTTTCAGGACACATTAGCATTACAGACATCTTCCTGCCTGATGCATCTTTGCATTCACTGAGCACCTGCCAAAATTCCCAGGCTGCAGAAGCTGCCGCTGAATCATTTCCCAGCTCTGGCTCCTATCACTGGGATTGAAGTTATGAGATCAAAGAGAAAAGGAATGCAGAGCATCTTGTTTGCATGTCACCAATGCCATTTTGCTGTGAGGCAGCTAGTGAAAGACACACACAGACAGAAATTATTGGCAGCAGGAGCAGGAGTATGGCAAGAAAGCCTGGCTACGGAAAGACCAACACCACAGCTGGGTGTTTTACAAAGGTAAAGGTCCAGCTAAGCCCAAGCACGCCAAAGAATCCACTGTCATAGTCTGAAAAACATCATCAGGAAGCAGCCACCTGATGTCAGTGGATATGCTGCTCCCTGGACATCCTCACACTGGACAGACTCACTGTAACCCAGTCCTACCTTTATTTCATGGGTCTTATGTTGATGTTCTTACATGTCTGTCTGCTGGAATCAAGAGACTGCTGAGAAGCCTTTGTTCTAAATTTGTGTTTCTAGGTTCCTTTGTAGCTCACAGAGGTGGGCATAAAAGAACACCACCATGCCTCCCAAGAGTCAGAGAAAGGCCCAAGGCAACATAAAAACCCCCAAATTTATTATTTGCTACCTAAGCCAATTTCATACATCTGGCAGGACCTGAATCAGAATAATTTTGATTGCTCGGATCTGGCAGCCTTAATGATAGAAACAAGCTTCTGTTACTTTACTTCTTTTTAAACCACTTTTCTCACAGTGTTCACGAGAAATGGATGGATACTGCCTGAACTCATGTAGGACCAACAGAACTGAGTTTCTGGCTGTGGAAAGCTGGTTTAATGGCAGGATGAGCTGGAAGTCGAGTGTGATAGTCAGCTGCCAGGGCTGGACATCAGAGGCAAGAAGAAAACCAGCACCTTAGTTTGTAATTAGGAAATACAGTCAGGAAATCACCGGGCAGTCACAGTCAGCCATGTTCCCCCAGGTCTCTGCAGAGCTTTTTGGTGTGAGATTAACAGATGCAACCATGATAGACTGAGCACAGCCAGACCCTGGCAGCACAGCCGAGAGCTGAGCACATCGTGTGTGATGGGAGAGATCATCATGGTCTAAGTGACTCCCTGAACTCTGCACAACAGAGCAGTCTCCTGAAGCCCCTGCTGCAGAGCACTTCTCCAGAGCAATTCCCACTTGTTTGGTGAGGCACACAGAGAGAACACTCTGCACTGCTGCAGGAACAGAGCAAAACCACAGCTCCCACATTATTTTTTGAGTCAGAGAAAGACTAGGGTTCAATAAATGATCAGACCACATGCACAGCCGAGGGATTTGTGAGGAATACAGAAATGCCATTTAGGACTCCTCCTCTGAAATGGGAATGCTGCAACAAGGCAGAGGCGATGCCGTGGGTCAGGCCCAGCTCAGGACGACGCCCTCACACAATACAGTGTGGAATCCACCCAGCAGGTCCACCCTCGCAGCAGGGCTGGCAAGAGGGGCCCTCCAGCACCAGAGATTTCAGAAACACTCAACTCCTGACTGGTTCACTGTCTGTGCTCAAGAGGGGCACTGCCCTACAGTGCCTGGCCACGGCTCATACAGCCCGGGAGCGACCCACACAGCTCTGCCCAGCCCACGTTCTGCATCTGCTACGGATGTTCTGGTACCTTCGCTCCCCTTGTGCCTGAAGGGATCCCATCATGCAGGCACGAGCAGTGGTTCCCCTCTCCTACCATCACCTGAAGCCAGCAGAGCAACTCCACATCACCGCGTCAAGTCCCATCTGCAAAGCATCTGGAGCTCTGTGCTCTTAGCCCCTTGCTTCCCATCTTGCTCCAGCACCATCTGCTTTCCTCCTTTTGCCTCTTCCCCGTGCCAACCCAAAGCCTTCAGAGATGTCGGGATTTGAAATCCACCCAATCCGAAATTACATTCCCGCAGGCTAGACCGCCCCAGGGGATGCGTTCCGCTGCCACTGTGCGCGCTGGACACAGCGCTGCTGCTCCCTCCGTGCCCGGGGCCGGCGGCTCGCTACCCTGCCCCATCCCCTCCCCGCTCCTCTCAACTTCGGCCGCCCGCCCGGCCCCGAGGCCGCCGGTAAAGCCGGACACTCCCGCCGGTGCCCGTCCGAGGCGGCAGCACAGCCCCCGCACCCCGGGGCTCCCGCGCCCCCGCCCCACTCACGGTGCCCGGGGGCAGCAGCACGGCGCCCGCCACCCCATCGCCCCCCGCCGCCTTCTCCTTCTCCTTCTCCGGCTTGAGCGCCGCGGGCGGCTGCTGGACGCCGATCTTCACCATGGCCCCGCTCCGCCGCTACCGCCGGCCCCGGCACCGCCCCGGGGAGGGGCCGCGCCGCGCCCGCCCTCAGCGCCGAGCCCGCCGCGGGCACCGGGCGGGCACCGGGGGAGCACCGGGCGGGCACGGGGCGGGCACCGGGCGGGCACCGGCTCCGCAGAGCCACCCGCGGGCACCGGGCGGGCACCGGGCGGGCACGGGGCGGGCACCGGCCCCGCAGAGCCGCCCGCGGGCATGGGGAGAGCACCGGGCGGGCCCCGGGCGGGCACGGGGCGGGCACCGCGCCCTCAGAGCCGCCCGCGGGCACGGGGCGGGCCCCGGCCCCGCAGAGCCGCCCGCGGGCACGGGCGGGCACCGGGCGGGCACCGCGCCCTCAGAGCCGCCCGCGGGCACCGGGCGGGCACGGGTCGGGCACCGGGCGGGCACCGGCCCCGCAGAGCCGCCCGCGGGCACCGGGCGGGCACGGGGGGAGCACCGGGCGGGCACCGCGCCCTCAGAGCCGCCCGCGGGCACCGGGCGGGCCCCGGCCCCGCAGAGCCGCCCGGGGCCGGTCTGCCCGCGGAGACCCGGCTGCCCCACCACCCCCGGCAGCCCCGCTGTGGACACGGAGCGGGTGCAGCGGCACCCCCGGGATCTCGGGGCACGGCACGGTCAGTGCTGCCCTGCCACTGCTGACAGCAGCCCAAAGCGGAAAAAACAAACCCAAAGCACTCCCGAGCCGGAGGCGGCACCGGCCTGCAGCAGGTGCACACCGAAGGCAGGGTTACTCTGGGGAAGGGCACAGAACAGAGGCCGTGGAGGAGCTCGGGTGGCCGTTCCCCCAGGATCAGCTCCGGGCGGCACGGCAGATGGATTTCCTTCAGCGTGGGGACACTGATCCACAAAATGCCCTGTCTGCCAGAAGCACTGTGGCATGCAGAAGAGAATTGCAGGGACGGTTGGGTTGTTTTTGTGCCACCAGATGATGGCTGGGGAGCAGTGGGGTGCACAGCAAGGAGTACAGAACACATACTGACAGTTTTGTTAAATAAAAAAATGGAAAAAAAAAACCCCATTAACAACATCCTCTCTGGCAGCTACAGGTAATAAGGAAAGTAGGAAATTGTCAGTGGATAAACACAGCACTACCTTTACATTGATTTGGTCCACTTAAACATAGTATTTATTTATAATAAAGTTGTTACAAGCATTTTCTTTCGATCCAGATGGGTTCATTGTGTACTGAGTGCTTTACATCATGTTTTGAACTAACCCATTGATAAATTACTGCTAAATTTTATTTGTAAAAGGCATCTTTGGCAAGGATTCAACATTGACTCACAACAACAATTGCTCATAGTGCTGACTTACTTTGTTCAATATTTGGAGCTGTTTAGTCCTCCCAGCATCCCACCCTGTGGGTCAAAGTTACATGGGGATTACAAGTTTTATCTCGCACAGAGATAAGGGGCTGCATTTCCACAACAGCATCTGATTTCAGGAGCTCAGACTGAGACAAGGTGGTCCTGAGATTATGGAAATGGGAGTGTTTACAGCTAGATCCAAACATCTCACATGCACCATGCAAACCAGAGACAGCCCACCAGGGTGTTCTCTGACTAACGCTTTAGGCAAATGCTAACTCTTCTAATAACATCCTGTATCACATGTAGCCTTAGAGCAAGGAAATGTCCAGAACAGGGCAGAAATCCCCTAAAGTCTTCAGTTTAAAGACAGAAGATAAAGAAATTTAAGGCTTGTTCTTTCCATTTATGTCTAAGGGGACTCTGGCCCCCCACCCACAGTCAGGCAGTCTGTGGGACTGGTGGGACAAGTGTGCAGTCTGGAGAATAAAGGATCCTCTTCTAACATTTAGGTCATTTGTGATAGATACTGATAGAAAGATGCACAAGGCTCTTGATGTTCACTAGGGCTCCTGACAGAACTTGTCTATTGATTTTCTGAGAGGCAAGCAAATGGAAATGCAGCATCACACCACGGCCAAGCACAGCACCAGGCAGCAGTGACAGTGTGACTCTGCCCCTTCCTGCATCGGTGCTGGCCTGACAACTGCTGAATCAGCCTGGGTCCTCTGCAGAGCACAGCTCATTTCCTGTTTCAAGTGGGGAGAAGCATTGGTCAAATATGTGAGACTGACATTGGAGTGTAGGTGCTGGGGTGTCCCCTGTGCACAGCTGGGGCCAGCCTGGCTGCTCTCCAGCAGGAAACCTCCCCTGGCAGCCACCCCCTCCCTGGGGGTCTGCACCTCATGCCCAGCACAGCCTGAACTGCAGCACCCTGTACAGCAAGAAATGGCCCCCAGAAGGACATCCTGAGCAAGAACTGCTCCTGGGGCATCACAGAACCTGCAGGATGCCATTAGTGTTCACGTGTTCTTTAAGATTACTTTTTTCTTTTATACATGGCAATATGCACAAGTGCCTCAAACCATCCTCAAGTTTGCAGTATTTGTGAACATAGCTGGAATATTGGAATATTACTTCTGCTGTACCATAAAAAAGCTGCAGGACTGACAAGGAAGGCAAGCTATTCTCAGCATAATGATGAACCCAAAACAAGTAAAGGAAAATGTCAAAATAATTATAAAATGGGTCAACATTAAGGGTGTAAACTGTTAAGCATCTTTACTTATTTAACATTTCACGGTTGGGTCTCAGTACAGCCACAGTGTTCTGTGGCATCTCCAGATTTCAATTACATCCCTGGATAAATGACTTAGCAAGCATTAAGAAGAATCACCCAAGTTATCACAGGCTGAATTTCAAGACTAAAAGATTTCTCAGTAAGAAATCTCCAGCTACAGGCCCTTCAGTTGGGGGCTTAGAGGATAAACACTGACAATGAACTCAACATCTCTAGCACTGCTTAAAACCGTGTCTCTCGGCCTGCAGTGGAGAAGTGACATGCTGCTTACAGACCATCTTGCTCAAATCTACTGTCTTTTCTATTTTTAAGCAAGCAGGTTTCCATTTAAAACTGCCACCTTACTGACTTCCTTAAAGCCATCTGCTGGTTTATTAATCTGTGACAACAAAGTTTCCATCTCTGAATGTAATTAAGTGGAATCCCAGGGACAATTTAGTTGCCTGACCTTTCATTAAGAATAGCAGCATGATAGCACTTCTCAAGAAATAAGAATTGGGACCTTTATAAACCTTATTAAACTGTCCTCTACATTTGCCACTTCCAACTTTTAAAAAAAGCACTTGTGTAAAAAAAACCCAAACAAGCCAATATTAAAGAGAGAGTACAAGATAACTGCTTTAATACATTCCAAGCCAACCAAAATGTGTTTGTCATGTATTGAGCTGCATCTATTTCTGAGGTCTGCCTGGTGTCTTAGCTGTCGTCCCTCACTGTATCAGACTGGAAGGAAATGAGCATTTTAGAGTCCTTAAATCATTCTGCTTTTCCACTGCAGTTCCAATAAAGGCTTGTCCTAGAGTGTGCCTAAAAATGAACAGAACTCTGCAATGTGCTGAAAATATACTTTTATTTTCCCTTCTTATGCTTGATCAACCAAACAGAAAGGCTTAGGTCAGGCTAAAAAAAAAGAAACTTAAAAAAATCATAATCACTCTTACAAGAGCAGGCCACAAACACAAAGGACGTACTCATGTTTTTTTGCTATTCCTTACACAATCTAATTCTAATTACCACACATAATTGCATGAGGCAAAGCAATTGCCTGTAGCCAAAGGTAGAGAATAAATCCAGTGGTTTCCATGGAAAGCTACAGCTTTCATCTGCAGCTGAACTGAGCTGAATGTCTTGTCACTCCTGTACCTGCCCCACCAGCTGGGGCAACGTGCCAGTCCCTGGGACAGCTATCAGGGACCACATCCTTTGTTCCTTCTTTTCTTTGAAGAAAACCCAGATGGTTCAGTAGCAGCAGGAAGCCTTGGGCTACCTAGGAGGGTAAATGGAAAACTATTACCATTATGTTCTTCAAAAATAACAAGAGAGTAATTTTCTCCTAATAGTAGAAATTATCCTGGATTAGTCTCCCTCCTGGAAACTAGCAAGCTGCAGGTATCTTGGCTTTCTCTCTTTTGCAAACTCTGGTGTATAAAAGGCCAACACTTGGCATCCTTCAGTCAGTAGCTGAAAAAAAGTATTCACATTTCCAAAGGTGTGCACAGACCAGATGCACAATGGCTTTGACCTGAACAACGCTCAGTTAACCACCGCTGGCAGGACAGCTGAAAGCCTGAGCCAGGGTCTTGTTAACTTTTGGTTGCCTGTTGTGGCACCAAAACCCCTTCACACGATGTGCCAAAAAGTGGGGAGGGATGGTGAGAACAGGAAGGGAAAATGTGGTTTGGAGACAGCACCCAGAATACCCAGGCTGGATTTTTATGACATGGAATAAGCAGGGAGCATACCCAAGACAGCAAAATTACCAGGACTGTTGTATAGTTTATATGTTTTATGATTTAGAGGGAGATTTTCCATTAAGTATCCACAATTTACCTGGAAACTTGTTAGTTCCACAAACTATATAAAGTTCAACTTTGTATAATTTCTGGAACCAGCAGGGAGGGAATTTGAGTTGCTGGGGAAGCACTAGTGAAAAGAACAGGATACAAGCCTAAGAGCCAAGAAAGCCCAGGAAGTGGGAAGGGCTCTATTTCCTACCTTTACATATGAATGCAAGTGTTAGAACACAGCTTAGGCAGGAGGGAGAAAAGAGAATAGAGGGGAGATGCTGGCTTAGGATCAAAGGCTGGGGCTAGATTTAAGTAGTTGCTGGAGAAAGTGGGTGTGAGGTCTCAGCCCCACTGAGCCCCATGGAGTTCAGCTGCATTCCTGCTCCATTGCCCTAGAGCCCCACAGGGACAGAGTACAAGAGAATATGTAACCTGAGCTCTCCCTGCCCCCTTCCCTTCTGTCACCTCATTTCTAGTTCTGTACTCAAGAAGTGGGCTCTTGGCTGTACCTGCACCAACCTTGAAATATTCTGCTTGTCTGGCGTTGAAAGAAGCCAAAGACAGACTGAACCAAAGCCTCCATCCTGCCTGCCAGGGGCCTCAGACCAGGGAGGGGAGGGGATTTGGGGAGGCTGCCTTGTGTTCCCCCCACCATAAGGACTGTTATCTCAAGTCATTAGGCCTGGCAAAACCCATCATCTGGCAGGTGCAGGCAAGTGTTCCCTGACCATGAGCTCTGCCGGAGCAGTGTCTGAACCAACAGAACCATCGTGGGAGGCTGCCTAGTACAGATGCAGCACAGTACCAGCCTCAGATGCAGGGGGTGAAGCACCACTGGCTCCAGTTTCTGTGGTGTCAAGTGCCCAGCCCCAAGAAAATGTGCCTGCAATTACAGTTCTGAGCACAATGCATGTTTTAGTCAGCTGCAGAAAAGCCAGGGAGTTGGAGGAGGTATCCGCTTACAGCAGCAGCCCCCAGTTTTCACCAGCTCAAGCCTATCCATCATGCAAGCAACCTACTGTGAGCAAAGGCCCCACCTCTTTACATCTCAGTGTTCCTCTTCTTCAACAGGGACTATTTACAAGTGTATAAAGTGACAGGGCATGGAGCAAAGGCTTCAAATGGACAGAGGACAGGTTTAGACTCAGTATTAGGAAGAAATTCTTTACTGTGAGGCTGGTAAGGCATTGGAACAGATTGCTCAGAGGAACTCTGGATGACCCATCCCTGGCAGTGCTTAAGGCCAGGCTGGAGGAAGCTCTGCTCTGGTGGAAGATGATCCTGTCATGGTGAGGGAGTTGGAATGAGATGATGTTTAAGGTCCCTTCCAACACACACCACCCTGTGATTCAGGATTTGCTAAGAGTGAGTGACCACACTCAGCCTGAATAAAATGCTTACTGGCAAGAGCAGAATACACTGAAGGGAAAGGAACTTGACACTGAAAACCAGCACCAGTTCTCCAGTGGAGTTTAGGCTGGGAAGGAGGAAAGTGTCATCACTGTCAAAGATCTGCTTTGAAAGCTCAGCTATAGGAACTGTGGTGTTCTGTGACAGCCACATCCTCTGAGTGAGCCTGCTGTCTCTTTTAATTAGCCCATCTCCATGGACATCTCGGGATTTTATGTTACACTCCTCGAGAACTGTCTTTACCTTTAACCCAAGGGGGATGAAGTATCACAGGACAGTGTAACAAAACTAATAATCCGTAGGAGATGGAGACTTTCCTGTTAACCTGATGCAGGACTGTGAAAGGAAAAGCCTGAATCTCCTCTGCCCTCTTTCACTTCTTCTGTCTATTGAAATTTTTGTCTGATGCCCCATCACTGCCCAAAATATTTGCAAAGCAGGCACCCTCCTGCCTGTCCTGGTTCCTTAGATTTGGTATTTCAGTGCCTTGCCCGAATGCACTCCTGAAAATACACACCAAGAAGATGAGAAAAAACAAGAACAACAAACCCACAGCTGGGATGTTAAACAGAGGTACAGACTGAAGTGTGCAACTGAAGACCCAAGGCAAACACCTGCTTGGACATCCTCAGTTTTGGCTTCTTTGGGACGGTGAACAATACTTTTGTTCACACATCTAGTTTGTCACACTCAAAACTGCTGCAGATCAGGTGATGTGGAAGGAACCTGCCACCCCCAGCAACATGTGACGTCCTATCATACCCATAAAGCTCAGTAATATCAAACAAATCTCAGCATTGCACAGCTGACAAAGAGTTTGCAGTGGGAGACAGAACCACTCCTGTTTTACAGCATCAGCACATTATACAAATTCAAGCAAGGCTGGAGTCAGCAGAACTGATCTAACCTTGCTATGTAAGAATCCTCTGCTACGCAGCCCAAATGAAATAAAAGCCAAAGCAAGCAAATTAAACTACATCCAGTAATTGCCATGCTCCTGTTCAGAAGGCCCCAGGGACAAGGGAATGAAGATGACATCTATGATGACGTTCAGTGATGTGATTTCTTTGAAAACTGGCATGTGACATGGAGGAGAGATGCCCATTGACTAGAAGAGGCTCATGGGGTCAACTAGACTCCAGCACATTTAGCAGTCAATAGTGCCAATGGCCAAGCAATGCTCTAATGCAGCTGATTACATGGGCCCAGTATTCACACAGCTGAACCAAGCTCCCTCCACTCTCTTGTCCCCTACACTGCTTGACACCCTTCTGCCCAGGAACGAGGGCAACCCAAACCAGAAGTAGATACCCCAGTACACCAGTAAATGCCCAAACTACAGCACAATCTTTCTCCAGCCACCCTCTCTTTGGGGAGTAAGCATAGCAAATCCAGATGACTTCATGCACAGAGCATCCTTTAGTGGCAGCTTCCTTTCCCCTGGGTTTTTATCTTCAAGGCCTACCAAACTGTACCCCTGCCCACCAACCACCTCTGTTCCTGGGAATGTGTATTCCATTTCCATCCCACACAAGAAATCATCAGCTGGCAGATCATATGGACACAGCTCGTGCCTGTTCTGCCAGCAAAGATGCTGGGCTGCAGAGCAGTTAAAGTCTTGTCATTGCCCAGAGGCAATCTTTTCAGGCTGATATTACAGCTGGAGTGCCATGAACAGATATTCCTCTCATGCTTTTTCAAAACACCCAACACAGCTGCATCAGCAGCTGCACAGTTGGTTGTGCCAAGAGCAGCCAAAGCAGTTTCAGTACTGTAGGGTGGGACAACAGAACACTCTCCTGATGTTTCAAGCATGACTGGGGTAACTCTTTGGGGTATTGCCACAAATTTCCTTCTGAGAAATGGGCTGTTGTATGTTGTGGCTCCCCATTTATATTGAGATTTATATTGGTGTAGCTCTGGGGTGCTCATGTTGGCCCTGCTCTGCCTTCATGGAAAACCTGCAGTGCCCTGTGTGAGACAGAAAGTTGGCAGCCTCATTTAGATCACTTTTGGGTTTGATTTCATCAGTGTATTTCCAGATTTTTATATATGCCTTGTAAAATTTTCCAGAAAGCAGAAAATCTGTTCTGTCAGGTCACATTGTGAAGGATATGCCAGTTTGTCCCTCCACAAGTCATCAAGACATACTCCCCCTGGTCCCATCCTTCTCTGCCAAGAGGAACTTAAGAATCTCTTGATTTAAGGAATTAAAAATAGATAGGAATTAAATATATATAACAAACACATATTTTTAATTCCTATACTTAAAAATATATGAATTAAAAAATCTCCTACTGCCAATATCGTCCAAGCAGAAAAGGTAACACACTGTGGGACTCCTGAAAACACACAGCCAACTCTTTCATAGTGACCAAAAAGAAAAACCCATTCTCTTGTTATGAGCTGCTCTCCACTCTGTGCCCTCATGGCTGCTGGCCCATCTTTCACAGAGCTCAATGAGACACCCCATAACATGAACCCATGAACATCTCCCACCCAGCAGCAGATCAGGTGGATCCCTGGATGAACATACTGCACTCCTCGTGAGCTGAAGGCACTGTAGGGATGAAAATTCCTTCTTTTTTGGCTCAAGAGAGGTGTTGCAGTGCCCCACAAGGCAGCAAAGCCATACACAGAATATCCACACTGCAGACACGGCCCTGGCACAGCACATGGCTGCAGGTTTGCATGATGGCAAAGACTGTGAGGAGTCCATGTGGATCCTAGGAAGTGGATATGGAATTGGCTCTGACTCCTGAAACATCATCTTCCATAGTGAAGGATGGGCCCAAGAAGCAAGACTTCAGAAGGTGAAGAGCAATAGCATGTCTTTATTTTTTCAAACATCTCTATCATAAATTCAAAGTTTGGGCATAAACATCATGTGTTTTCCTGGACACAATTTCAAGGAAAAAATAAAACCTGTACTCCAAAGTCTCATGTAAAAATTTTAAAAGGGCAGACAGGGCAACAGCACCTTAAACCAATCCTATTTGTAAAAACTCGTATTTGATGAGCAATGCAGCCTGCAGGTTACTATAGCAGCCAGATCCATCACCTAGGTGACCAAGCACCAGTGATACCAACATTATCCTATCCCTACACACAACCTCACACTGTGCACATTAGCAGCCTTCCACTTCTTGGAAGCTTCTCTTCATACCAACAGATGGACAGCAGCAAGGCATATGGACAGTCTGCAGGAGGGGTGAGCTCTCCTCACAGCACCAGCCTGCCTTGCTAAGGAGAATTATTTCTGACAGCACCACCGTGGAAATGCTGGGCACCTGAGGCAACCAACATGTGTAACCTGATTTACTACCAGAATAATAAGTAGCAACTTGCCTGAAAGCTCTGTGGAAAAGCTTCTGGTGGCCAAAGAGTTCACTTAACGTAGCAGAGGGTCTGAAGCATGAATCTTTACAAAACGGAGACAATGTCTTGAGGCATTGGCAAAGTCTTCCCCCAAGGAAAATTACTTTTGGAAAGCCAAACTTTCAACAAGGAATACCAAATCCAAAAAATTCCCAAATCAATACCTTACCTATTCCATGGGAATGATCTGCTCCAAATAAGGCCAAAAAAGATGTTCCTCTAATGTTCCACTGATGGTGTGTAACTCTGGGTATCTGAGGAACACTCCTGAGTAGAGATGTGTTTGTTTACAACCAAGCAACACTTTGCTCTGATTACAGGGGCAGATTCAACTCCAGACTCCTGGAAAATATGGACTTTTTTTGGTAACAATGTTACATAATTGGTAGCTTCTGTAGTCTGAAAGTATTTTGGTTGCTTTGGCTAAAGGAAATTAAATGGTATTAAGAGATTTTTTTTCTCCTGTTTTGTCAAAGGCTGCCTTTATATCCCATTGAGAAATTACTCGAGACAGAAATCTCTTTTCCTGGACTTTGATAAATAGGGATGACTCATTATTTCCCCATTTTGCTTTAAATATCCTGTCATCCTTGTGGTTTGCTTTGTTCAGCTATTCTCTCAGCTTCACACAGCACCTGCTGTAATGACACAGGAAGTCCTCTGTGGTTCTTCTGCCTTTTCAGTGCATCCCCTTATCAACAGAGCACTCTGACCTTTACACATCCCCCACTTTACTTACCCAGCAGACACTTGCAACCCCTCAAGACAGCCTTTCTTTGATCACCACTTCCTAGACACCAGGAGATTACATTATCTTGGCAGAGCCAAAAAACATGTGGTTCCTTTCCAAGGCTCTACCCTCATTGAAGCACACTCAGCTTTGGGGCTGCAGTTTAAATTTTCGAAGTAGACTGAGCTGTTACAGCTTCAGGAGCTGGGGAAACTTCTTCAATCAAATTTATTTGTTTGAAACATGATTGTTAGCTTCCTTGTCTTTAGCCCATCTTTCACTGCCCCCTCCCCCCTCCCCCATCCCTTGTGCTCAGCAAAGACAGTGGTGTCTTTTACCTGCTTATCCATGCACAGGTTCAGAAAAGACCATTGGAAGCCAAGCCCTTTGTAATCCTGGAGAACAAAATAACTGTCTTCCTGATAAAGCCAGTTTTCTTCTCTGTCTCTCACTGGCTGATGGTGAGATAACACCAGCCAAAGAAAAGATCAAAGTCATAGTGCTGAATCTGAGAAGATAAAAGAAAAAAATTCAGAAAGAAAGGAACAGTGGGCAGATGAGAGAAATAAGAAATGCATTTCTGCAGCAAAGGATATTTTACACTGAGGCTAGACTAGGGCAGAAGTTTCTAGGGAAAAACAGGGCCTCTGTGTTCCAGGGAAGACATCTACTGGGGCCTGAAAGATTCAACCTCAACACAGAGGACACTTGAGCAGTGGAAAACAAAAAAAATAGGAAATGAATAAATGTTTTATTGTTAGCTGAGAACTGCACATTCTTTGTTGTTGACAAATGCAGCTTGAATTTTGCAGAGCTTTTGTATCTGCTTGCTTCCCTCATGAAAATGCCCTTCAGAGGAAGGGGTGATCCAGGAGTGCCCAAGGCTCCCACCCTGTCCCTGCAGAGGCTGGAGCTGCCTGGGGCTGAGGTTCAGCCTCAGTACAGGAGCCAAAGCCCAGACTGTGTGAGAGGAGGACATACCTGCCTTGATTTGCTGATGTCACGTAGGGAACAGTGTGACCTGGAAACTTTCGGAGGGACTGGCAAGGTGAACAGAACACAGGGATGCAGTCAACTGCTCAAGAAGCTCTGGTTTTTGTCTGTGAATTATATTAAATAATGCTTATTTAGTTCATAACCCTAGCAGTCCTCTTCACAGAACTGGGTATCCAAGGTCAGGATGCATTTCAGGACGCCTTTCAGGACAGCTGGATATACCTTCAATGAATAACTGCACTTTAAGCAGTGAGTTTAATTAAAATGCATCACTACAATGGAGAAAATATCCAGTCCTCGTGCCATTATGCAATAGTGCACTCAGTGTAGAGATACAAGATAAACAAGGAACACTCCGACCTTGCATATCATCCTGCATGACTTAACTTCCTATTACTTTTTCCCCTATTTCTTTCTCAATTCCTAGTTATAGTTATATATTTAGGAAAGATAACAGGGTACATGAACTTTGCAGAACTGCCAACAGCTGCTCAGGTGGAACTCTTACTATTATGAGGTTGCAAGCATGCTCACCTGTGCAGAAAGAAAACTTCCTTCACAAAATACCTTGTTGGTCTTTCCTGCAGGAGCAATGGAATGCTCAGTTGTTTCCAGCTCCATGCCTCTGAGAAATTAAATGGGTCCTAAATGCTGTAATCCCGTTTTGGCTTTCATTTTTATCACTCTCAAAACCAAGTCTGCAGCAGAAGGCTGTAGTATTTTGCCTGTTGTTGCAAAGTGCAAAGAGCAGCTCAAGATGGCACCTGAGAGGCAGGAATGTAAAGCTTCCTATTTTATATAATGACAAACAACAGAAACATTATTAATCTGTTTCTGTGTGGGGAAGGCTCACACTAGAGAAAACCCAAAAAACCAGGAGAGAACTGCTCGATGAGATCATGGAAGGAGACTTTCAAAGGCAGGGGGCAAAGAACCTTTGGATTACTTTCTTCCCTTTTTATAATGCATAGAGGACATGAAAGAGGTTTTTCAGTAGTTCTTTCTTATTCTAAAAGGAATTTTTTTGGTTCCTGCTTCTCTTTAACATTAAAAATTCAAGTCTTGCCTTGAATAGAAGGCTCTGAGGCAAACAGCATCAAAGACGTGCATAAGTCAGGATCAAGTACATTGGTAAGGACATTTGGTTAGTGCCCATCTTGCACTGGATTCTTAAGGTTGCAGATAAAACTCAAATTTGAAGATTCAAAAACCAAACCTAATTTAGTTCAGCTGCAACAAATACTTTTAGAATAGTAAAAAATTAACATCTTTAATTACTAATGTTTTAACTTTAAAAAAAATAAATTATGTATCCCCAGAAATTCACAGTTGTGTTTGGCAGAAGAAACCTGCCCCCTTCATACTTCAAGTGAAATTAGTGATAAATAAAAATAGTGATAAATAAAGCACCTTTTCACTGCCTTTGTGTCATGGTGAATATGGTCTAAGTTACCTTTGGAAACAGACTTGTATCCCACACCCTTTTTCTGCTGAAGGGAAAAATACTTTCTCAGCCAGCTGGTCTCTTTTCTGAGTAGGAAAGCAGCAGCAGAGCTGTTGGAGAAGGACTGGAGACTATTTCTTGTGCAACAATAGACCAAACTTCAAGTCTGTCATACCTACAAAATGCTAGATTATTTTCTCCACTGCTTGTAGGAGTAGGAAACCTCTCAGACCCTTGGGTGTTGAAACTAACTGCTAAAAACAAAAATACAAAATAAAAGCACCTTCTTGTAACACAAACATGTCGGATTTGGAAGTCAGCAAGAGAAAGCAGAGATGGTGCATCTGATGACATTTTTCCAGTTTCTTTCTCAGGGTAGATCTGAGTTTTCCAAACTGAAGTGTTATTGTAACACTTTTCCCCTGTTCTGTATATGTGGTTTTGGTGGATTGACTATTGAGTATTGAGTTAGGGATGCTAAGAGCCTGCCTGTGTTCTCCAATTCCTGTGGCTAAGTTGCCCTACTCAGAATTAAATGATACATTACACCCTGAGTCACCCTCTACTAATGCCTGCTAGATGTTTTCTGGCATCAAGGTTTAGAACTGGAGCTCATTGGAAATTTTCCACAGGGGAGATTTTCTGTTTCTGAGAAAATAGGAATTTTCCATGAGGAAAAAAAAAAAAAGGTTTTTTTTTCCAAAAAAAAAAAAAAAAAAAAACTTGAAAAAGTTTTTTTGCCAAGAGGATCAAAAGACAGTATTTCATTTTTAATTGACCTGGACTAACCAAACTGCTCAATGCCCCAGGTGATCCATGTGAATTTTGGGTATTTTCTGATGGAGACAGTCCAGAGCACAGCCTCAGAGAGGGGGCTGTGACTGCAATTTTCAGATGGCCCCATGTGACTGCTCATTTCTGACAGTCACAGGTGCCTGCTGGGCAGGGCAGGGCTGGGAGTCACAGTCCACCAGTTACACAGCAGGGATATGCAGGCATCTCCAGCAGCGAGACACAGACCCAGACAGGCTCTCCAGTGAGGGAGGAGGCACTTCCCAGTAACCCCCAGGTGCTTTCTGAGCTAGCATTTCCACCTCCACATCCTTTCTCCTCTGCTGGAACCACTTCCTCCACTCTTCCATGCCTGTCCCAGCCAGCTCCCAGTCTCTTTCTTTGCCCCTCATATCCCAGGTGCTGCTCCTCAGTGACACACTGCTGCTGCTGCCCCTCAGCAGCTCCACGCTGCCACTGGCACTCACTGGAGCTGTCTCCTCCTTGCCTGGCTGCCCTCACCCCACACAGCAACACAAACTCTGCCCATCACACGTGTAGAGTCCAGGGCCACCTCCACGCTGCTTCCCACCAGGAACCTGAATGGGAAACAAATCCATTGATGCTCTCCAGTCCTTTGCCCCTTCAGCAGAAGCTTCTCCTGCAGCTGAAAATGCTCCCAAAGCTTGGTTTTCATTTGTGTTGCTTTTTGATTTAAAAACAAAACCACACAACCTCTCATACTTGTCTAAAAGGAGGCCCCTCCTCTGCCCTCCCAGTACCCATCAGGAATGCCCTGAGATCTGGAGTGTCTGGACTGTCAAGCCAGCAGTAATCTTCTTCTCCTGCTTCAATGGGCTCTGGCTCAGGCCACAACATGCAGATAAACACCAAGGAAAACAGATTACAAACCTGAAACTGGTGTCACCATGAACAACCAGTGTTGGCACGGATCTGGATCTGTGACTTTGTTGCTGTAGGGACAAAAAGGAACAGAAATTGCCCACTTTGGAACCGTCTCTGAAGTGTGGAGAACCTCAGATCAGAACTACCAGTACTCTGTCTGAGTAGAGACCTTCTCACTTACCTTCTGCCTCCAGAAGTTAAAGGCCACACAGCAAGAAAAGACATTCAAATTAGTATCTTCTGGCTGTCACTGGACTTTAGTCTCTTGATCTATGAATTTCTTTCTTCATTCCCCTTCAAATAAAGCAAAACCTCCCTGTATGTATGTAACCCTGCAGACCTCTCAGAAGCAGACCACACATGTCCAGAAGTTCACAGGAAGGACCTGAGAGAAGCAGAGCTTTTGGGCAGCACTTATTTCCCACAGCCTTCAGACAGCTCTGAACAGTGCCAGAGGGTAAGGCTGGAGAGGTGTGCACATGTTAGCACAAAAGCAGCTTCTCAGCTTCTATCAAGCAGCAGATAACAGTGACACAGCTGCCACCCCCCAGTGCTCTCCAGGAGAGGCTGCAGGCACTCCTGGGAACAGCCTTTGTGCCAGGCCATGAAGCCACTGTTTGGGGAACTTTTGGAGCTCCTTTGTCCCTCTGCTGTACCAACTCAAAAGCTGCTGGAGTTGCAATAATTGCCTTTTCTCTCCCTG